TTTTGGATAGGGGAGGGAGGGGTTTTTTTGGTTATATAACTTGGGCACATCGAGTAATCGTGGGGACATTGTCCCCTTGGCTCCACACTTCCGCGGCCACTGGTTGATCCTTACATTTCTAATGCATACTCCTGGTAAATTTTGGATTATTGTATGTGGAAATTTATTTATTTTGTCGTTCTCAGAAGAGAAGTTTTGTGTTAATAAGAGGAAAATGTGGCGGTGGTTAAATTGGATCGTTGGTTGGTTTGGTTTGATGGCAATTAAAATTTCCTAGTTAAAATAAAATGACCCTAAAATTTATAACTAACTATGTATCCGTTGTAAAAGTGTGATTTTTTAAGCCTTAAAATTTGTTCTTGTTTATCATTTAACCCTTTTCTGCATATAAAATGGATGGTAGGTGTCTGCCTGCCGTGATTGTGGTGGTCCTCCTGTGGTGCTACCATTCATAAATTAGGCGCATATTTTTTTATTCCATGTATTTTATTTCTGCAACGGCGGATTTCTGGTTAATTACCAGACTGCCAAGAGAGAACGACAACTAGTCGACGATGACATTGCTGGTTGTTTGGTTGCTGCGGCATTTTAAAAGGAGAGACGAGACACCAGAATTTTTTTAATAGCTTTTAACCCTTCCTTTAAAATTTAAAATTCCCTGCTGATTTCTTGGGGTTAGGAATCATTTACCTTTTTGGCTTTTAAATTTTGTACTTAACGAATGCATTTTGAAAAGAGTTGTTATTGTTGTTATTGTTAAGAAAAGGGTTTAAATTTTTGGGGACAGGATTTTAAGCCTGTGAGAAATGGCACTTGGCACTTTGTTTAATTTTATTTTAATAGAACTGGTTATTAAGTGGGTAAAGTAAGTAAAATTAGACAGAAGTACTTAAGGCGACATAAAAGGGTCAGAAAAAAGGGTACACAATTTTGGAAGGAAGAATGTCATGTTGTAAATACCCAGACCACTCTGGTTAAGTTAATTATGCACAAAATGGAATAAAATGTCGCTCTTTTTTATTTTATTACACTTTGTCAACTCTTTTTAATTGCTGGCTGGCAGTGGTCCTGAACTTATTAATAGTGGAATAATAAACATGCAAGGAGAAGTTTCTTATACCGCATTGATTGCATAACACTGCAATTTTATTTTAGTGATTAATTGGTTATTATATGGATCATGAACTCTTATATCACATCACATATTTTGGCGTACATTTTTTTAAATGGATTGCATGTAAAAAAGAGAGACGAGAATTAAACAGACTTGCTTCACGATTACATAGCAGCAGCAAGTAAAAGGTTTTACCTTGAGTTGTGCATTGAACTTATTTCACTTTATACCTGAGAAGCAGAAGCAAGAAGTTGCTACTCCTAGTAAAAACTACTACTGTTCTTGGCTTAGCAATCCAACCCAATCCACGGATGGATGGATGGATGGACGGGTTTCTTATGTAGACACATAAGTCTCAAGAAGATTCTTCAGTTTCATCTTTGTACTTTGTATATAGTAAGTAAGATGCGTTGCTTGCAGACTTGCCCGTGGCGTGGCTGTAAGAAATGCCATGTCTCTAAGGAAGATGCAACATTACATTATGTATTCTTAAGATTTATAATACTGACCACGTCCACCGAGTCCGAGTGGAATGGTCTTCAGTACATATGACGGATTGGATAACAAACGCCAAGATTTTTGGTCTGGCTAGCTGTTGGTTTTATATAACGTGTGACGAAGATGACTGGTTTGGTTTTGTTTGAAAATCACTTTTGGATACATTTTTGAGACGAGACTTTCTCTATGATTTGCATGCAATTGCAGTGCAGTTGTTACAGCGTCTGTATGTGTGCATTCTTTGGGCCTGATTTTTATTATATTTTGGGTCCCATTGTTGTCATCGAATGGTTGGGGATGAAAAAGGTTCCCGTTTTGTGTCAGTCTCTGGGTACCTTTCTTTTCTTTGGATTTATTATTATTTGGGTGCATCTGCTGCTAGTCATAAAAGGAAGGAACAAGTTTCAACAATAATTAAGAGCAAGAAAAGAAGGGTCCTTTTTATAAATAAGAAGTAGAGAGAGCTGAGGTTGAGGTTGTTGAGGTCCTTGGACTGGACCGTTTTGTTATTCATTATTCCGCCCGAGGTGAGTTACTGCGTAGGAGAAGGAATAAGGGCTTTCTGGGTCCCTTGGATTTTAGGAGACCTTGAGGCTGCCTACTTGAATTTGGATTTAAAGAAAGTTTCCTTGAGAGTTGAGGTGGCGTGACATGAAATGAAATTGTATGGACTTGAAGAAGACGGCTCAGGCTTATCTTAATGTTCGTGACGTTTCTTGACGATCGATTGACTTGACCAACAACAATGTGCCGATAAAGTATTGATTGATTTTTCTGACTATTGCAAATTGAAGGAGGGCGGAGGACGAGAAGGCAGCAGTGGCGGCGGAAGTGGGGGACAGGGGGACATTGTTCCCTCAGAAATTCTGAAAAATCATATCTTCGTCATATTAATAAGCCCCTCCTTTTTACAATGCTAATGTCCCCCCATATGTCCCTCCTCCAACTTCCGCCGCCACTGGAAGTCAGAGTGAAAATAATATATTTAATATTTATTTGCTTCCTCTCAAGTAGAAATATCTAGATGAAATTGCACCAGATAAGAGAAGACTATTGGTTTGGTTGGTGTAGATAGGCACGTAAAATATGCATTATTAATATTTGTACACAAAAGAGAGAGAGAGAAGTGGCTTGGCTATTTCGAGAGGGGGAAGAAAAGTGTTGGTGTGGTGTCTTTAATGAAGAATACATAAATAATTCAAGGAAATATTAAAATCAATCAGAATTTCCGATATGTTCTCTAACAAATAATATTGTTCTTCTTCTTATTTCTTCGCATGTTAGCGTCTTATCGTGCATGCAGTAGTCAGGCAGTTATTCATTATTAATCAGATTCTCATGTTTTTCGAGTACTGTAAGACTGTAATGTACTCGTGATGGTAAAAAGTAAACAGTGGTGACGAAGAAGAAGAGGGGGGAATTTTTGGTAGTGTTTCGGGTGCAAGTATTTTTAATAACCACGTGCAGGAAATAAGGGGGAGAAAGTGTTTTTTTTGCAGGTGAATATTTTGACCTGTGCAAGAAATTAAAAGTGCAAAAAACTACGTCCCGCGGCTATATTTCATACAGCGCGTGGGTAAAATGGCGCATATTTCTTGCACTTTCTCCCAGTTTCTTGCACCTCGCATTTCTCACGTTGCTTACTTTGCATTGCAAGACCAGTGTACCAAACCCGTAAGAAACGAAACCCTGATTATTTTATTATTCTGACAAAACAACTCTGTATGTGCCACCAAATTCTATTTTTTGTTTGTTTGTTTTATACATTTACATAAATTGAAATGGTCTCTTCTGGACTTTGTGCTGGAAGGAACAAAATCGATAAAAGTGATCGATCTTTTGTTTAAATATTTTGAAAGGAAAGGAAGAGAAATGACTGGATTTCATTATTATTTAGGTTTGATTTTAAGATATTGATCGTCGTATCAATAATAAATATAGATTGTAATTAGTAATTAGGACAACTCCACATGAATTATTCGGTACAAATGTACATATGCATGCGTGATAGAGAGTCTGTCCAGTTGACTGATTATATTTATGAACTTTCCATAAGTCGAGTGGGTTGTACGTGCACAGTGACCGCGGATGTCGTGGGGACATCTGGGGACATTAACATTGTAGGATGGGGGGAGGGAGGGGATTAAATAACACGGAGAGATGATGGAGACATTGAACAACCGGGGGGACATTGTCCCTCTGTCCGTCCTCACCCATGCTTCCGCGGTCACTGCATAAAAGTATGTTATACTCGTGGAATCAGTGGCTGCGGAAGCCGTGGGGACATCTGGGGACATTAACATTGTAGGATGGGGGTAGGGAGTGGTTTGTATATGGGAAGATTATGGGGACATATGTCCCTCTGTCCCCACCCACTCTTCCGCGGCCACTGGTTGACGTGGATTTTATTTATTTTGAGGAAAATGTGGGAGCGAAATTGTGTAGACTGTAGATTTATTGCAATCTCTTCTTTTCAATATGCAGCCTAGACCACTTGACTGATTTTTTTATCCAACCCAACCCAACAACTGTTGCACTTCATTTGTGCATGCATGCAAATTATGAGGAGGATGAAAAATAATATATAAATATGGCCACGACTGTTGGATTACGGCCGGAGTGCCATTATTTTTATCAAATGAAGAGAGAACGAGGAATCAAAATGTGATAACAAAATTCAGTTTGGTCTGGTTCTCGGTCTGATTGGGTAACTAAATATGTAGCAGTAGAGCAGTTAAAAGTTAATAAGTAACAGAAAGTTGGTGATTATCAAAGGGCGGATAAGTATGTATTTATTTTCAAATTTTTTAGACGACAGAGGGTCAAATTTTGTGGGTGTGTTCTCTAACTCGTAGAGATCGCAAAAATTTCGAAATATTTTTACATATCGGTACATATTAGATTTTTGGACATAGGTATCAATGTTTCCGCTATTATTTGAAAAATATGGAAATGTTTTAGCTATTTTTTAGAAATATATATATATTTTATAAAGATTTTGGGAGAATTTTTTTACAAAAAAATCCAGAACAGTACATTATGTACAGGTTTTGTGAAAATTCTTATGTTTTTCGTGAATATTTTGGTTCTTTTTTTGTAAATTCATATCCACCCTCTGGTCATGAATATAGATTATCAATTTCGAACATATTTTGGCGTTTTTTCATGCATATAAAATACATATTTCAACAATTTTTCGCACTTAAATACATATCCTCGGTCTGATCACGATAGATATATGTTACCGAGAGAGAGGAGGAGGAGGAGAGTAGATAAGCGCGCATCCAGTAGTTGTTGTTGTGGTGGTGGTGCAGTGGTGGTTTGGCGATAAGTTGCTTACTATTTACCCAGTGAAATTGACCGACCGTATGTTTTTATTTGCTTGCAGTTATAGTCCAAAACTATCGATTCGTGCTGTGTCAGAATGCGTCACAACGTTCACAATGCCTCTTAATACAATCGTAGTCAATCAGGTGAGTGTCAACAATACGAAGAAGCGGTATTTATACTCTTAGAAATCCGGTGGCAAACAGTTAAGTGGTTGGTATTGATGATGAGTAATTTCTCGGTATTAGAGTTTTACCAGTTCGGTAAGAAATTTGTACGGACCGGTGTAAATAAATTTGAATATCAACTTTAAAACCGAGAAATCAATCAATTTCTCGGTGATTTCTCGGTGTTAAAGTTGGTATTAAAATTATTTATATCGGTCCGTACCGAACTGGTCAAACTTTAATACCAAACGGTAGAAATCACTTATCATCAATGGCACTTTAATATCGTTTGGTATTAGTTTGTTACCGGATTTCTAAGAGTGTCCCGTAAATAATATGGTGCCTAAAATTTGTTATTGTTTTTGCAGGGTGATTTCCAAACCAATGTGCCAGAAGGCAATAGCGTACAAGAAATTATCCTTCCTTCTCCTACACGGACAACAAATAAGTTATCACTTTCTTCTGACCCTCCTTCATGGACTGAGACTCTTCTCGTGGGTGGAACCGTAGTAGAAGACGAATCCTCATCCTTATTACTGTCATGTCGGCCATCTTCACCGGGATCATCACCCGGAGGATCCCTCATTATTTCTACGCCCACTCATTGTGCTGAAGACAACAAAGATAATTCCCGTGCAAATCTAGGTTTAAGTCCTCCCACCCAAGTGCCTAGCCCGTCTTCCTCAGCAGCAGCACAAGTTATTATGACCACGATGAATATGCCGAGTTCCGGCCCGGTGACGACAAAGACGATGAATGAATCTGATGATGGAAGCCAAGGTGAGGGTTGGACGGGTTGAAATTGGGGAAAATTTTAATTAATTTTTAATTGGGACAAATTTTTTACTAATTAAATTCTACTTGTGTTAACAGGTTGTGATCTCGGAGGCTTTACCGTAGCTTCGAACAAAGGTTGGGGCCTTTCCGCCGGCTCCGGACTACGTGGCGGTGGTCTCAACTCGCTCAACAATGGAACTTCCGGCTGGGGTGCGGTTTGCATTGATTTAGTGGGATTTGTACACTGTTAGAAATCCAGTGGTAAAATAATTAATACCAGGCGGTATTCATGTATATTGTGGGGTTGATAAATAGTAGCTCGGTATTGAAAGTTTTACTATGTCGGTAGCGAATTTGTACGGACTGGTATACAACTTTAATACCAAGCGGTAGCAACTTTAATGCCGAGAAATCAATACCTGCCTAACTATACTAGATTTCTAACAGTGTAATCAGCCAATTTAAGCGAAATGCTTAACTAACAATTATGCAAATTTCTGTTGTAGGTGCGCCCCCCACAAATCCGAATGCAGCGTCCGGCTGGGGCACTCCCCCCGGCCCTGGCGCCCCTGGAAATAACCCTGCGCAAGGTGGACCTCATACCGGGAATCCGGTGGGACTTCAAGGAGGTGGTGGTGGTGCTCCATGCTCGTCGTCTTCCTCATCCTCTCCACCCGGAAATTTATTGACCGGGAACAATAACCACCAACAAGGCGGATCAAATCAGTGGGCTTCAAACTCTCCCAATCGTAATAATAATCCTAGTCAAAATGGGCAACAAAATATTTCTGGTAGATTATAGAATATAATTTAAAAAATCCCCCATAAAAATTCAAAATTCGAATGTTTTTACAACATTTTAAAAATTTGTGTCTAAAAAAGACAAAAATCCCTACACATTCACGCGTGGGTTCGATTTGTGGTGCAAGCGTTGGCCGGGAAGCCCTTGTTTTTGGGGTCCGTTTTGTACGAACTGTTTGAATTTTCCGGGATTTATTCCCCCCGTTTAAAAAAAAACAGAAATCGAACCCGCGCATTCACACTTATTTTTATCATGACTCGATTTGTAAAGCTTTGCTTCATGTATGCAATTTTTTGGATTGGACAGGATCTCAAATTAATAACAATCCAAACGGAAATGCAAGCGGAGGCGGTGGTCCTTCCCAACTGCCCATGCCCCCCGTTGGGAGTGGCTCTTCTTCATCCGCCGCAATGCAACTGAATAATCAGAACAACATGAACCCGAATTCTCAGCAGCAAGGAGGCATCATCCCGATCGGTGGTGGAGGAAATCCTTCCGTGGGAATCCCCTCATCAGGCTCCTCCTGGGCCCAAGCAGCCGGCAAGTCTCTACAAGCTAGTGGTGGTGGTGGTGGGGGTGGTGTTGGTGTTGTTGGTGGTGGTGGTGGTTCACTTCTTGGTGGTGGGTCTGGGTGCACTTCTAACTCGAATCCCAATCAACCCGGCAATTCTTCTATAGGCTCCAATTCTTCCTCCTCGTCATCCTCTGGCGGTGGGGGTGTGGCCGCTCAGACGTCTGGCGCTCCTGCTGCGGCCGGTGGTGCATCGAGCGTGACGAGCAAGCAGATCGAACAACTCAACAGCATGAGAGAGGCGTTGTTCAGTCATGATGGATGGGGTGGGGTGAGTAGAAAGAAGAATAAACAAGGTGTGTGTGGGGAAGGTGTGTTATAATAATTGTGCTTTTTTCTTTTGTAGAACGTGAATCAAGACTCAACCTGGGACATTCCTGGTAAATATAGGATTCTAGTGTGATTTTAAATAAATGGTTAAAAAATTTACTCAAAATTTCTACTAAATTGTGTCAGGTTCTCCAGAGCCAACTCATAAAGACTTGGGCGGTGGACAGATGTCCGCCCCGGCAGGAACGAACGTGTGGAAAGTCAACGTGAACAATGGGACTGATCTTTGGGAGGCAAACCTCCGAAATGGGGGTGCTCCCACGGTGGCACCCGTCGTCCAGAAGGCGCCCTGGGGACATACTCCCTCCAATAATATTGGTGCGTGGAGGAGGAGAAATTTTCTTATCAACTAACTTAATATTAATGGATTTTAATACATTGTTTTTAGGAGGAACATGGGGTGAGGAGGATGACGGAAGTGGTGAATCTGCCAGCGTGTGGTCCGGTCCTTCCGGAGGGCCTGGTCAAGGTCCAGTTAATAATAACAGCTCTGGCGGATCTGGCGGAAGCGGGGGCGGTGGCGCTGGTGCGAGCGGTTGGATGAATAATGGACCCCAGCAACAAGTCGGACCTGGACGTGGTGGCGGGGATGGAAATGGAATGTGGAATTCTGCCCCAAGTAAGATTCATAACATTGAAAAAATAGTGGATAGACTTTAATTTGTTGGCTTTGTTAACAGTGAAAAAGGAACAGTCCGAATGGGACCGTAGCGGCGGTGGGGGTGGTGGTCGCCCCATTGATTCTCGCGGACATTTAGGCGGCGGTGGACTTGGCGGAGTTGGTCCTGATTCCCGCAACGTTGTGGGTGGAATTGGCGGTGGTGGCGTCGTCGGAATGGTCAGTGGACACGAGAACAGCCACAATAGTCACAATGCCGTGCGAGGCGGTTGGGACAATGATGTACGAGGTGGTGGCGGCGGTGGAGGAAGGAGCAATCTTGACGGTGGAAATCCAGGCATGTGGAACAAACCGCAAGTCCAAGTTCAGCAGCAGCAACAACCCCCACTCCAACAGCAAGGTGGCGGATGGGGTGGACCAGGAGGTGAGGAAACTCGTAATAATAATACATAATTAGTACTTAAGTTTATGCTAATTTATTTATCGTGCGTTTTTTTTATTGGCGCAGGACACTCTGGTCTCGGTGGAATGGGCGGTGGCGGGATGAAACCTGACAAAGGGCCCGGCTCATCTGGATGGGACGATGTTTCTCCCACGACGCAGAGACGCCCAGTCCCCAACATTCCGAACTATGACGATGGCACTGCTGTCTGGGGAGGTGGCGGTGGTCCACAACAACAGCATCCCGGCGTTCGAGGAATGCCGCCAGGTCGGGGTGGCATGCCGAATAAGATGGATGATGCTCCAGTTGGATGGGGTGCAAACAGGTAATTTTTTAGACACACGAGTAATTACAGAGGCGGGGAAAATACTTTATTAAAAACCCTGCATTTTGAGCTCCGTTCTTCCCAGGGTTTGGATTTCCAGGACTGTTACACCCACAAAAGGACGAGAATCTACGTGCGGAAGGCAGCAACCAGACGAAAATTTGTGTTTTGCGAAGAAATTCGGTGTTTATCGCTGACAAAATACATTGTTTTTATATTTTTAAAAATCTAAAGTATTTTGAGAGCAATGAAAAGTTAATTTCTTCACAACACCTTTATTTTCGTACTCCTACTGAGTTATCCACGTAGATTCTCGTCTTTTTGTGGGTGCAACAACCCAACTCTGGGAATAAGGGAGCTCAAAATGCTATATTTTGGAAAACATTTTTCTCACCCCTGATAAATTAATAAATAAATCTGTCAATGTGACACTGGATGATACTTTCTTCTTTCAGAAGTAACGGATGGTCCGGCCCCGACGGTCCAGGCGGTGACCTTGGTGGTTTTAACGGCGGTCGTGGCGGTGGAGGTGGATGGGAAGACAAATCCATCGGCTCATGGGGTGAACCTCCCTCCATGCAGCAGCAACAACAACAAGGCGGCAACTCTCAGTGGGGCGGTAAACCTAAAACCCCCACCAACAATCCTTCCAGCTGGGGGGATGATGGCGGCATTGTGGACACATCAAATTGGGGCGCTCCTCCTAAAAATTCCGTACGTCACTCTTTTTCTCCCTTATTCATTAATTTCCAGCTAATAATAATCTCGTCGTCGTTTCCTTTAACTTATTAATTTCCGCTAAACACAAAAGTTGTAAAATTTCATAACAATAATTTGTATCCTTATCATTTACTTAATTTATTTTGGCGGTGATGGTGTTTACCAAATAATTTGCAAATATTTGTACATTTATTTTGCCATAATTATTTATAATTTTCTTTCTTTTAGTACCTTTTAATTTTGCTGAATAGCTACTTAAATATCCGCAAACTAGTAGAGTCTCAGTCTCACACACGCACCTACCAAAATCAATCAATCAATAGAAATTAATATGGCAAAAGTTAATTTATTATCATTTTTTATTAATTTGATTTTGTTTGTTGTGCTCGTTCTTCTCTCCTTTTGGACCAAACTCTTGACACTGAATTGACTGACCACAGAATTCGAACGCGACGTCCTCCTCTTCCACGATAAGCTCGAGTAGATACTGTAACGGTAGTCCCAATAATAATAACAACAATTCGATGTCCAATTCCTCCTCCTCCTCCGCGAACGGCATGGGTCTCAAGGAAGCCGCCTACTGGGCCGCACAAGCTAATAGTCACGCTAACAATGGTGGAAATCGCGGATACAACTCCTCCTCCTCTTCCTCCTCGAACAACAACAACATTTTGAAAAACCTCCAAGATTTTGGAGGATATAACAAGGTCAGAAGAACTAAAAGAGTGTGACGCACGCACGCACATCGGCGAAAATTCCTGTTTGTCGCTGTGTAGAAAATTTTGTGTTGTCCGGCCTTGTGTGTAAAATTATTAACAAAACTTGTCCAATTTTTAACACGGAATGCAAAAAAGAAGGGCGACGACGATTATTTAAGAGATTTAAACACGTGGTGTTTGTTAACTTCTTTTTCTGTGTGGCGTTAGTTAATAATAATATTGATTGATTATGGCTTTTTAAATTACATAATTGCTTTGTTTAAATGGTGGTGGATTTTAAAATGGGAATGCTTTTTTATGGCTTTTTTTGGTTTTTCTAAAAAGTTTTATGGAAATTTTGCTTGTTTTTTTTGTGATTAATTAACCCCGTTGAAATTAAGGTTTTATAAGGGAGGAGGTTGATCATGTTACGTTGAAATCTAAAATGAGTGCCCTTTCGTCTAGAAGGAAGACATGGAGCTCGCCCTGCGCGCCTCGCACATGAACCTTTCCGACGCCATAGATTCCTTGGACGGGGGACGTGGCGTGGTGCCGGTGGGGCCGGGTGGGATGGAGCCTCCATTGTGGGGTGGACCTTCAACTGGATCTGGAATGCCGGGACGACACGGTCGCCTTCCTGGTGGCGGACCACCCGTAGTGGATCATGATTTTGACCTTGGCGTCGGTGGTCCCATGGGAATGGGTGGACCTCCGCCCCAGCAACGATACGGGGTTCCGAACCCCAAAGGATTCTCCGGCAGTGGGGGTGGAAACTCACTGATGAACAATGTAGGGAACAACCCAGCTAGTCTTGGGGGCGGTGGGGGTGGTGGAAGTATTAATCCGACCTTGTTGCAACGGATCTTGAATCAACAGCAGCAACAACAAGGCCCCAATAATCCACAAGCGGTAATATATTTAGTAAATAAAATTGATGGGGTGTGGTTTGAACTCGTGTCAATATTTTGGAAATTGTGGGATGAAATTAGTCGATTTTTGGCGACATAATACGGAGTTAGTAAATCTGCGTTTTCAAGATTTCAGTAACTTTTCCTCTCTGAGGTTAAAATTTTCAGAAAAATTTTTAGAGGAGAGCCAATAAAGAGTGATTTCAAAATCGGCTCCGGAAATTTAGAGATAGGAAAAGTTACGGAAATTTATAAAAACAAAGATTTGCTAATTGCCTAATAATTTATAAATTTTAAATATTGACGCGAGTACGTCCACGGTTATTTTGGTGGGATCGTTTGTTTCATATTTTCCCCCTGTCCAGGGCCGACTTCAGCCGAACAATGGTGGCGGCGGATCACAAGGTGGTGGTGGTGGGAGCTCTGGTGGAGGTGCGTTCCCTCCCTTCAACAAGTCTGTGACCGTTTTGGTCCAACAAATCCAAATGGCTGTGCAAGCGGGCTACCTCTCCAACCAGATTTTGGCTCATCCCCTCCCCCCGCAAAGTCTCGTCCTTCTCAACTCGCTCCTCCAGCATATCAAAAGCTTCCAAATCCTGACACAGGCTCAGCAACAAATGGGGAACTCAAACTCACCCAGCGCGCTCCAACTTTCTGTCCAGATTACAAAGACGAAGCAAAACATTCACAATTTGCATAATCAGATCGCAGCGCAACAAGCGCATCATGCCAAACAGGTGGGAAAAGTGGAATAATTAATTTTATGCAAAATCAGAAAATTTTTACTCATTTTTCGGCTCTGGGAATTTATTTTAAAATTCTGGACGACAAATTTATAGAGCGTGTCGTTCCCAATTTTTTAAAATATACACTCCATATTTTGACACTTTTTGAAGGAGATTTCAAGTTTAAGAAGCCTTCAGAAAAATTAGAACTAATCAAAGTCCCTAGAAAAACTCGACGCGATTCCATCAATCAACTCGCTGACTACAAATTCATCGTCCAGAATTTTAAAACAAATTCCCAGAGCAGAGAAATTATTAAAACTGTATTAATTTTAACGATTTATTTGTCTTACATATAATAGTTTTTATAATGACATATCCTTAATTTCACCTTTACAGCAACACCATCACGGCGGTGGTGGTCCTGGTGGTGGAAATGATTTCATGAAGGCTGGCGGCGGTCCTCCTCTGATCAGTGGAGGCGGCGACGGTCGTGGTGGGGGTGGTCCCGGCGGAAATTTGATGGATCCCCTCGGCTCTTTCGGATCCGACTTCCTCCTCAATAATAAAGACGGCGGTGGACCTCCACACCAGCAGCAACAGCAACCACAATCCAGACTGAGCCAGTGGACCAAGATTCCATCCATGGAGAAGGAAGAGGTCGGTGGGGGCAATCAGGGTGGAGATTTCTCACGAGCACCCGGCCCACAAAGTGGCAATGGGGGAAGTGGACTTAAGAATAACTCGAGCTTGATTCTTGGCCCGTCAGAGTGAGTATTATTAATTAATTAATTAATTATCGGGGTGAAATTAATATTTATTTGTCACAGCACGTGGTCCACTTCTGTCGGCTCCCGATCCGGCGGGGACGGTTGGCCTACAGATCACGGAAATTCTGGCTCCGGCGGAAATGACAACGATCCCATGAAAGGCGGTGGCAATGTTGGTGACGGATGGCAAACTGATCTCGTGCCGGAGTTTGAGCCAGGAAAACCGTGGAAAGGGACGCAAATAATGACATCGGTGGAGAATGATCCCACCCTGACGCCAGGATCGGTACGTTACTTATAAAAATAATTATAATTAATTAGGGTTAAAATCAATTTGCTAATTAACTACGTATGCAGGTTGTCCGATCTCCTTTGAGCTTGGCAACTGTCGCTGCAGCCGAGATTTTCGCCAAGAGCTCCAACTCTCTGCAGAGCTCTTCCCTTGCCTCGGACTCACTGCCTTTGAGCCTCAGTTCTAGTAGTACTTGGAGCTACACGCCCACCTCGGGAGGGGGCGGTGGATCTACCTCCATTGCAAAGTGAGTAACTAATCCTCCCAACTGAAAATGGAGATCTCCGAGCGTATGCTCTCAGATTTTGAGCAAACCAGTGTCAATCGATGAGAATTTTAATTAGTATGAAATTTGCAAAAGACACGATCTCGAAGTTGATAAAATTTACACTTTCCAAATTTACTAAGCATTTTTTCCCATTCGAATGCAAATATCTCAAAATGTCAAAGCTGCATATGGGGGATCGTGCCTTTCGCAAATTTCAAATCAATTTATGGTCGATTAATACTAATTTGGTCAAAATCGCTGGGAGATCTCCATTGTAAATTAATTATTAATTAATTCGAATTAATTAAACTAATTACTAATTTCCACCAGTTCCTTGGCCAAACTCAACTCAACCCGGGACCTTTGGGACTACGGCGGTGGAAGTGGAAACAGTGGGCAACAGCAGCAACAACAACAGCAGCAGCAGCAACAACAGCAGCAACAACAACAAGGATCTCGCCCACCTCCAGGTCTACCCAAGAAGCAAGGAGCCCCTGTCCCCTCCGTGCCCTCGGGTGGAGGTACATGCTCCGGGGTGAATTTCTTTATCGAGCCCAAAAAACCAACTGACCTTTTGTTATTTCGTACAGGCAATCCACTCTGCTGGCTCCTCTTGAGAAATCTGTCCCCACAAACGGACGGCTCCACGCTGCGAACTTTGTGCATGCAGCATGGTCCCTTGCAAAAGTTCCACCTCAACCTCAACCATGGCATCGCTCTGGTCAAGTACAACGGACGAGATGAGACAGCCAAGGTAATAAATAAATAATTAATTAATTATGAAATTGTGAGAATATGAAAGAATCTAATCTGAATTTTTGTGAACAGACGTTTCTATTCCAGGCGCAACACGCCTTGAATAATTGTGTTCTCGGAAATACTACAATTTTGGCGGAAATGGCGTCCGAAAATGATGTCCAAGGTTTACTTCACAGCCTTAACTTAGCTCAGCAGAGTAATTCAGGTAGATATTACTTAATTTTTGACCTTACATTATGTCAATCCCCTTATCAATCTATAACTCACCTTATCTTCCAGGATTCTCATCCTCCTCCTCCTCCAACCGGGGTGGAAATGGAAACGGAGGCGGCGACGATAATCCCTGGGGTCTCCGTGATAACTCCCCCTTGTGGTCCAACAACCCATGGGGTTCTTCCGGATTGGACGCTCCAGATCGTGCCACACCCTCCTCGCTAAACTCCCTCCTCCCCGACGGTCTCCTCGGGGGCGAGTCCGCCTAAGAGAACCCCTTCTCTCTCTAAAAAAACCGTAACTATGTATTACGTCACACCCACACACATTACGTAATAACTTGTATTTAACCAACCAACCAACCAACTCACCACACACAATAAAAACCATCGTCTCGTCGACATCGACATCATCATCATCATCACTTCTCAACAAAGAATCGTGTCCTGTATACTCCAAGAAGAAGAAGAAAAAAAATGCTTGATTATTTTATTTAGCAACATTGCCACAATAAGTACTTCACTATTGTGTGACACTGTTCATCAACTACAACTACGTATTCAACTACAAGACTTATATAGCAAAGATATGTATGTATAATCCTATACAACTACTAACTAACCGTTACGAACGAAGAAAAACCATCCATCTCTCTTTTTTATGAATTATTAAGTAAAAAATAATTAATCATCATTGATTGGATTGTAGATATTTCATCCAATCCAATCCAACCCACTACCTACCAAAACCCTAACCAACCAACCAACCAACAAAAAACCTACCACAAACAAAGAAAGTGAGTGATTACACTATTACCTAAAATGAAAAACACTATGAACACAACATAGTACTGCTACCTACCTAAATAATTAATTAAGCGTCGTTATTAAGTATTAAGAATGTTCTAAATAACGAGTTTTTTTTCTGTTTTTAACCTACTTTTTAAGACGAAAGCCAACCTGCATTTTTATTATGATGCTGATAATGATATAAATATATATCGTGACTATTAATAATAATTAGGGGGAGACAGAAATCATGATATATATATAAATATATATTTATTATTGTCGTATTATGTATTATCGATATCCGATCTTATCATGAAGAAAGAGGCACAATTGACCATTATTATTATTATTATTGTTATTACTACTTTATCGTTGTGAATGCGTTGATTTGCTGATTTTCTTAAAGAAATGAAATATAGTTCAATTTTACCTGACAAGCGAGGATTTATGGAAAAGTTGAGAGAGAGAGAAAAATCCAATCCAAACCCAATCATCCCATGAATTAAATATTTAAAGTCAGTAATTAAGTAAGACTAGACTTGTTTTTTTGCCATCATTTTACCCAAGTTCGTACATAAATAGTTGAGTGTGACAAAAATGAGATGATAATAATACTACATAATTACATAAATATGCAATTAGTGTAATTAATCTTCTGTAAAAAAAAAAGTTGCACACATCAATTCAATTTCGATAGGTAGCGGGTGGTCGTGGTGGGGGTGGTGGCGATCACTAATTATACCACCCACCAATTTCAATCCAATCCAAAAAGAAGACAAAGACTTGTTGCTATTCATTCATCAATAATTAATAATAATTACGAAAACACAATTGTACAATTTTTGGCACTATTCACGCCGCAGTTTGCCTGCAAGAAGAAGAAGTTCTTGTTTTAATTAATTAAAATCAGCTTAATTATTATTATTTTTAGCCAAATTTACATATACATATTTAGAAAAATCTCCATAATCCAATCCAATCCAGCCAGTGTGTGTATGAAAAGGAAAACAATTACGATTGATTTTTCAAGCTCATTTTATTTAAAAATAAATAAATAAATAGTCAATCGATAAGTCAGGAAGGAAGGAAGGAGAGAGTGAGATGGTATAATGAATGATGGATTTTTTTGGCGTGGCGTGTGTTCAGATTCAGATTTAGATCCGATTGTGTTCCCAGAAGCAATTTTGTGTTTTTTTGTTTTCTTAAGTGCAGCAGGCCGGCGATAAATCGATCGATGTATGTATTTAGAGCAATAATACTACATTTAAAGATGAAGAATGACATATTATTATACATGCATATTTAATTAATTAATAATTAAAAACTACTATAATGTTGATCTTATCCTCTCGGGTGTGGTTTGATGACGATGACGACGATGATTACACTTTTAAGTTTGTTTTTCTTCCTCCTCGTCGCCAGTGATATATAAAAAGCCAAGCTAATAATACTATTTAGGGGAAAAACAAGCTCATTTTTAAGCAATTTTCACTATTATTTCACTCCCCAAACCCCCCGAGTAGCTTAAAAATATTTGAGGTGGATAAAAATCAATAATCAATTTACATACAAAGCTTTCTCCCAACCCAAACTTCTCAGAACCGATTCTAGTTCATTTTTTAAATTGACTTTTCTGTGTTTTTCTTGTATCTCTTAATTTAATCTTAATTAGTAAAAGTGTTAATTATAATTAAGTAAAACTTCTCCTATGCTAAATATTATGATCCTATTTACAGTACGTTACATTACCAATTGTGAAAGACTTATCTGTTTTATTACACTCTACGAAATAGTATTAATTATTGTTATCATCATCATTAATTATTATGCTTATTCAATTTTAAGTGCTGATAATTGATCTCACTCTACGATGAGTTATCTAAATATGTAGGAAGTTGTATCATATCATCGCAAGAAGGATGGGTCGATTGATTGATTGATTATCGATTGCTTATCGATTAATTCATGATAAGGTTGTTGTTCTATCAGGAAAGAGAAGAGAAGATGAAGAAAGTGATATTAAGAATCAACCAATAATTATAACATAATTTGTTAAATTGTTTATTATTGTTATTGTTAAAATAAGTTAGTTAATTTTCTCCCTCCTTTTTCCGATTTCATTTAATTGATGCTAATTAACTTTAAGGATTGATTTTACCGATTTAACCCCCCATAATTAAGAGCTAATTAATTAATTAATTATAATATTGTGTTTGTTTCAATCCTGGCAAAAAAAATTGATACGAGGAATTAATCGTTATTAATTGTATCATGAATGATGAAATTGAAATCGGGGGAATTAATAAGTATGAGACACATTTATTATTAATTAACTAATTATTATTACTTACGATTATTATGTAATTACATAACTAACTTAATTTTGTTTTATGCTTGTGTCCCGTTTAAAACTATAATATATTGAAAAATATGTACCTATAAGAATGAGAATGAGTTTTAAGGGGGCATCTTTTTTTCTTTTAGTTCATAGCATGTTTAGTTAATTGATTAATTAATTACTAATTATTTAGTAAGTGTGCTTAAAAAATCGCGGCCTATCAACCAAGATACATCACGAAGAAAGAACGCTTCTTACAAAAATGTTGTCTTAATTAATGCACACACATTAATTAATTACTAATAATAATCTTTAGGACAATATTGATTAATTGATTGATCAATTATCGATTAATTAATTACTGTATATAGATTTAAAAAATAGCGCAAGCATTCCCACCAGAAAAAAATAACCACCAACCAATCACATTTTGATGAAAATGTTACACACAATTTGCTAAATATTTACCACGTGTTTTAGGACCACGTGAGAAAAATGTCATGTGCTTTTGATAGGCTGTCGTAATACGTACGTACAAAGGAGTAAAAAGTAGGGCGCAATACGAAAATAACTCTTGTCCATGAGGTGATTTATCTTTCATTAGTTAATTAATTAATTAATTATTTAGTTAATTACTTACATTACATAATTACTCACACTCACCTACTCACAACCTGTTGACATTGCATTGATTGATAGGAAAATATTTTAGTCATGATGAATATTTCGTAGTTGGTGATCTGACTGATCCTTGATAAGACTAGTTCATTCATTCATTCATTCATTACTGATTTTTAATTCATTAATTAATTAGTAATTAAATATTTGTTTTAATTGTTAAGGGAAGAGCTTTTGCATGGTTGTTTGTTTGTTTATCAGGTCATGAAAGTTTTTTTGACGGGATTACGGATTAGTACAAAAACAAGTTGAAATGAAATTTTAATTCAGAAATTTTCAGAAATAGTCATGAATTTATTTACATCTTGATTTTTTTTCGGACAAATCTCTTGTCAAATTTAGCACAAAATTCTGCGCAAAATTCTGCATGAAAATTAGCAAATTCTGCCCAAATTTAAATATATTCCGCATTTATTAAAAAAAATTGTGCAACATTTTTGCTCACGGGAAGATGAAGAAGAAGGAAAAAAGTGCATATTTTTAATTGATCTTTAATTTTTGTGTTATTTAAAAAAATGATTGATATTACTAGAAAATAGTTAAATTTTTTAGTTCACGATGGGAAATCGAGGAGAATTTTAAAAAGTGTGCAGAAATCACTGGAATATTCAGGGTTCGCATTTTTTTGAAAATTGTAGTCAATTTCTATAATATTTTAATTTTTAGTGAAATTTTTCGTGAAAAATTTCACCTAATAAAATCGGATCAGATATCAGGGACTCATATATGCAAATGAGAATCGAAAGGAAAGAATCAGTAGTATAACAACAACGAAACGAGGCTTAATTACTTACCTGATTAATTAATTAACTAATTAATTACAATTACACACGTACACACACAATTGTTGGGGCAATACTTCTCATCTCGGGTAGGAAGGAGGACGTAAAAATAATATCTTAAAGATAACTAAGACTGCAAAAGAAGAATTCAATATTCCGAAAAATTAATTAGTGTAATTAATTAATTAAAATTCCTTAAAAATATACAACGTCCAGTCGAACAATCCAGTCCAATTTTACAGGAAAAAATTGATTTTTTTTTTAAATCAATTTTTCTCGTTAAAAGTAAAACCTATGCAATTCTTTAAATAATGACAATTTTTTCCTATTTATCTTGTTGTTCTCTTCTCTCTTGAATCGAGTGTAAAACAAAAAGGCATTTATTATATCTAGAGTTATGGTTTGTATTTTAAAATTAGACTCTTTTTTGTATACAGAAAATGGTCAAATTATAAAATACAAAAGGTTAACTAATTAATTGCATAACACGTCAGACATTTGTCTGATACGTACAAATAGTCAAGACTTGAAAAAGAAATCAAATTATTACTCTTATCACGGAGACTTTTTTAGCGGGAGGACTGATAAGGAAGATTTTTTTGCTTGGTTGAATTGAAAAAATATAGTTAAAATAGTTCCTTTTCTTTTTCGAATTTCTAGAAATTCAGAATTTCTAAAGAAAAAGAAAGAATAAACCGCCTTAAAATTCCAAATTGACAAATGCAAAGCAAAACAATTTAATTAATCGGGACTAATCATTATTATTCACGCTTGCCAAAAGATACGAATCAAAATAATTATTACTGAGATTTTTAAGTATACAAGAAGAAGAATTTCTGTTAATTTCTCTCTTTAATAATTTGCATAATTTCGTGATTTTGTGATAGATAAATTCCTGGGAAAATCTCTTGCAAAGTATTTTGTATTAATTTAATTGTTATTATTATATTTATTAATGATCTCTGTTTAAAAACCGATTGGCTGATTATTAATTAGTGATTTATTAGGTGACATTATTGATTAGTTAATTAATTAATTAATTAATTAATTAACGGACTAAATACATACACATGTACCGCCTTATTTTTCCTTCAATCATTGTTGTTTGAGACACGCTTAATTAAATATCTGATCAGCTCACAAGTTTAAATATGTAGCTTAAATGTATGTACGTTAAAAGCTGGATGTTAAAAAACTGGACCTTTCATTCTCAATAATTATACAAAAAATTAATTATAATTATCATAGTTAATTAATTAATTGATGAGATCTTTCCTTGTAATACAGAGGGTGCGACTGCATTGTTGTAACAATTTTTTTCCCTAAAAAATCCACAACAATGCATTCTCACCCAAATTATTTGATGATGACGAAGACCAACCAATGACAAAAAAATGTAATTGTGATTAATTAAGTTCTCAAGTTATTAAGGTAAATATTTAAAGAAGTAGAAGGAAAGCAGAGTCGATCCCGGTTTTAATTGATAATCTCCTCATCATAAAAATGCATTTCTTGTCTAAAAGTTCAACACGAAATTAATTATGTAATTATTAATTATTAAATATTATTACTTTCCCGTCTGTGATGTATTTACGTAGATAAAAGGATTATATTTGGCAATATTATAAACCTTAATTATAATTAATTTCCCTCTCTGTGTTCCATTTTAAGTTGGTTGGTTCTTGCTAAGAAAATATGTACTTATAATTTACATATTTTGTAAGGTTTACAACAATCTCAGAAAAGTATGCAAAACAAGGGAATTGTAAATTTGACGAGCAGCTACATATTTGCGAAATATTTGCAAAAAGAAAGCTTAAAAGAACAAGGATAGACTTTTTTGCGTGTTTTTTTAGCCTAATTTAAGGCATAGTTACCCTCTGTATTTAGTTTTTAGGTTAAATGCACCACCATTTTTAAGGAAAGATCATCGACCATGATGTATGTGAGTGAGATCAGTATTGTGAAGAAGAATTATACTTTGTGAGAGAACAAGGTGCATGCAAAAATGCAAAAAATAATGGCGAATTTCGCACTGCGAAAATGCGAAAACTCCAATTTTACGGAAATATCTACCTAACATAACAACAAAGATAACGAGACTAGTGTTTTTTTCGAAAAAAAACAGTTCAATTTTCAAATTCATACCAAAACTCCAAGACTTTACTAACAAGTTGATGTTGATGTTGATGAAATGAAGTACATGGAAATTCATGGAAAATCATGGAAAATTATACATAAATACACGCACATATTTACTTATAATTATGTAAATAAATACATAAATAAATATGTAAACGTAGGTACACCTGCCATGCCCAACTTTAAAATAGTCAGTTTGAATCATGTCATAAAAAATAATTACATAAATTATAATTATAATTAATTAATTATTAATTAAATAAGTGCTAATGGTTGAGGAGAAGAAGTGAAGTGATATTCATGAATTTTTAGCGTGGTAAAAATACATACACAAATTTTTAGAATTTTTAGGAAATATATCATCATTATCATCAGTATATATGCAATTATAAAGTAAAGTGCTAATTGAATAGTTAGTTAACTATTTAATTAAATAATTAGTGATTGTAAAGGACAGTCAATTGTGCCACACTGGAAGAAGAATGGACGGAGTTAATTAATGTCACATAATTACTAATTAATTAGTAATTAATTAGTGGTGGGTAATTAAGAAAACACTTCCATTTTACATAGTCCAAAAGCTATTAAGTGAGAAGAGAGGTGGATGGATGGATGGGTTTGGTTTGGTCAAAATATGTAATAATATGCAAATTATTACCAAAAACGAAAAATAATTTCGAAAAATGAAGAGACGATGATGAATATACAGGTTAAAAATGTACCAAAAAAGGTGAGAAATCGGTATCAAAAACATCGCAGATTTTGCCCCTAAATAAGATCTGATTAACTAAATGATGACGTAAATATGTAAATAATGCCTCATTTGACTATTAACAATGATGTGCAATTTACAATGGATTTCAAAAAACGAGTGAGAAGTGAAAGAAAGAAAAAAGAGGATGATTTTTTTTTCTGGAAATTTTAACCGGGATTTTTCAGGTTTACTTTTTCCTCCTGCGATTACATACGAAGTGTGTAAAAAATTTCAGAAATGTAAAGTACTTGACATTCATTATTATGCATTCAAAAAATACAATACAATTATTAATCTAGATTAATTTTAAATTGTTAATTAAAGACGATATCAAAATATTATACGTATGTATACTTGATGATTTACATAATTAGTTAATTACATACACACATTTTATCCCTCACATATTACACATTATGCATTGTACTCTTGTTCTAATTTTAATGATTTATTATTTTAAGTAAAATGTAAAAAATTATGTGTTTTCTTGTGTTCTTTTATTTTTTGCATAGCACGGATTTTTTTAAACGATTTTTCAAATTTTTGCAAATAAGATTTTTTTTGCAAAAATGGGTTCATGATCATTTTTGCAAAACCTTGTTTTATGATTATTGCTGCAAAAATTGCTTTAGGATTTACTGCAAAAATGGTTTTACGACTCTTTTTTTTTGGAAAAATGGTTTTATGGTTTTTTGCAAAAATAGTTATCTGATTTTTTTGCAAATATTTAATGGGTCAAAATTTCGGTAAAATTCAACTCAATCCATATCGATCCAGAAGAATAAAAAAACTCTAGGAAAATACGTCAGGGAATTAAATTACGTACATAAATACTTTGTCTCCATCCATGTGATACATACGTATTTATGCTTAGAAGATAACTAGTTATCAATGATAACTTATCATCATCCATTTTTCTGATAAGGTGAAAAAGAAATTGGGGGTTGGATTGGATTTTTTCTTCTTCTTCTTCTTTACTATTTCTTGTCGGGAAAAAATAAGTGATAAACATTTTACTGGCCAATTGTTCGAAAGAAAGAAATTACACAATAATAATCTCAGCGTTTTTGCATAATTAATTAATTAAATATGCTCATTAATTAATTACTTAATTAATTACAAGTATTTCTTCTTCTTTTCAGAGAAAAAAACTTTAATTAATTGTCACTCTTCGTAAATATTTAAGAAAAATATGTAAAAATTCGTCCACGTGCCGAGTATGCAATTTGGGTGCGATTCTATCTAAAATTAAGTAATAAACTGCTTTAATAGACATTTACCAAACTTATCAAGAAAAAACGACGACAACGAGACGATGATATCAACTTATCCTCGATAAGCAAAAAACAAATCAGTATTTCTTTAAAAATTCAGCTATTTATGCAAAAGAAAGAGAAGCTTATTATAAAAATAGTAAATAATTCTGCACACTGAAAAAACCAAACTTTGAGGCTATGCAATTTTAGGCGAAATATTTTGCAAAAATATTTTGCACAATAGTTAATCTCTCTTCTAATTCTAAACTCTTAGAACACTTATGTAGAGAACACACGGCTCAATGAAAATTGAAAAAAGCACAAGAACAATAATAGTAATATATAATCCTGATTGGCTTCATTATTTCTCTCTCAGAAATTTTCGAAAATTTTGAAAAATTTTATTTTTAATAAATATGTATGTACCAAGATAACTAAATAATCCGCTGTGTGATATCCTATATTCCAGACGAATACAAAATGTGTGCTGCTTACTAACAAGTATAAAAAAATGTGTAGATTTTTAAAAGAAGAAATACTTAAGAGTTAATTAATAATTATAATTAAATAATTAATCGTAATTAAAAAATTGCTCCTTCCGCTATACATAAATACATTTAAAAGAATTGTAAATACGTACTAAAAAACAAAACATTCCCGTCTGAGACCCATTTTTTAGGCTTAATTAGGGTTTCCATTTGCGCCAGACGTTGTAGCTTTTTAACTATGGCGCAAGTTAGTCGCACCTTAAATTCCAGACAGAGTATTAAAAATATGCAAGTCGTCCTAATAATAATTAGCTAATTAATTGCGAGGAAGCGCACTTATTTAAAAATGGGCCACAGATAACAGAGGAGAAAATGACATTGTGTTGAATTGCAAAATTTCAAAAATCCATAAATTTCCAATGAAAGTTTCCGAGAAATGTTTCCACTCCCTCAATTTATGCAGTAGCTTAAAATAGAAAATGATACTGTTTTAAACAATTATCAATTTCAAAACTGTGTAATTAAAAACAATTTGTTTTTAGTTACAAAATTCACTTCTTTTTTGCAATCAAAGTTTCCCTACAATGTTTCCACTCTTAATTTCTCCTCAATTTAGAAAGGCTTAAACAAGAAGTGGCTCATTAAAAATAACACGAAGATGATGATGTAACACTACACATAAGTCTGACCGATTGACTCGTAGGTTATTTATTAGTGTAAAAAACTGGATGCGATGACAATTTACATGATGACATTGTGACAAAAAACCAGAAATATAAAAAGGCCAACCATAATATTTTTATTTCTGATAAATAATTAATCATTATGAAAAATAATACCGGCCCGGCCTACGCAATTAAGTATTTATAGGATGCAAAAACGATGGTGGTGAAAGTGGAGAAAGTCGATGATGAATTATTCAAAAAAATGCGGGCAAATTTTAACTGCGCGGGAAAATTATTTGAATAACCCGCCAATTAAATATTTACCTAGTAAAAAAGAAGACACCTTAAAATGAAATGTCTTATCCCGAAACAATATATCTCAGACAAAGAAATTCACAACACAAGAAACGAAAAACTTTCCATGCAAAAAATATGGTCTGATTTTTCACAATATGTGAAAAAAATTGTGGAAACTCAAATAAAGTGGAACACCGGGATGCAATTATCCCGAAATAAATGGTCAAAATTTTGACGAAATACTTAATAAATGTCTTTTAAAGTAGTTCAATAATTAATAATTAAATAATGAAATTATCCAAAAAATGTATATATCACATCACCGCCAAGCAATTCTAAGCAAGTGGTAAAATTTATTTTAAACGGAGAATTGCAAAATTCCCAAAAATTTTGGCACAATGAAGACGAAACTGTACATACATATATATTTATTTAATTAATTAATTAATGGTAATAACAATTAAACGTTAAATATTTAGAAAATTAGCTCATTTTCTCGTTAAAAAAATTAGTAATAATTAAATAAATATCACGACGTATTTAAAAAAGTGTCCTAAACCACAATGACGAAAAACAACAGACTTAAAAAAAAACTAGTCCACGACTCCAATCCAGGCAAAGTTTTTCTCGGAAATTTTGCAGCCTTGATAAAACCCTTTCAAGGATTTCTTTCAAATTTCTGTGACAAAAAACATACATAAAAAACCAAATTGTTAATTGGGACGTGTGCTGAAGTGTGTGTATAAAAAATAATTAATTAATTACTAATTAATTAATTACCAATTAAGAATATGTAGTTTGTAGAAAATTAACACATCCCAAAGCAACACACACATTTCGACGGCATGCAATCAAACGGGAATTTACGGTGAGAATAATAAGATGCCAATTTTAATCATGTAGATTTTGATGGAGAATATCATGAAATTTTTCGTAATTTTTCCCAAAATGTGCAAAAATTTCCAGGAAGAAGGTAAGGATACGTAGAAATGCGAAACTGAAGGGTAAACAAAAAATATCTTCCTCTCTTTAAATTACTTAAAAATCATCACAAAAAACAAAATAATTACCTGTTCCATAAGTCTTAAAGAGAAGAGAAAGAAGTAAATTATGAATCGAAATTGAGCTGCTTAATTAACAAATAATTAATTAATTAACTATAGAATTAGTAAAAAGTTAGGAAAAAATCATCAAATTAGGTGAGTGGGTGTGCCTCTCTAGAAGAGCAAGCAATCTTGATCATTTCTGAAAATATTTAATTCCCAGTGTCAAAAAATAAATCATCATCAAAAAATGTGTTGAGATATGTAAAAAAAGAAACAGTGATTTGAAAATACAATGATGCAATTATTTAATAATTAGTTAATTATGGTTTCAAATCGTAAATAAATAACATTGATGAGTCTGCAATAGAAATCAGCCTATAATTAGAAATATTTAGGAGCCATGTTTCCGAAATTTGTCAAAAAAATGGGAAGGAAAAGTTCGTGTAATTTACTAATTTCTGACATAACCCGGCCTGGTTATAAATTGTTGTTGGGACATTAATTTTTTGTGAAATAGATACACAAAACTGGTAAAAAACGTCCATAAATTGGTAAAAATTACATACATTTGTTGGGAAAGTTGGGCAGGAAAAGTGCTAAACGTTTTGATATCAAAACGGGAAGAGAAAGTTGGTTGGATGCAAATAAATAAATAATGGAGCGTGGTTTTGGGTTTAAATTTATTATTTGTGACAATTAAGTATGTTAATTAGAAATTAATTATAATTAAAATTTAGCCAATTATGCCAACATAATTACTATAATTAGCAGAGAAAATATGTATATACGAGACGCATTTAAGAAAAGAGCTTCACCAAAAAATGTAAAAAATGAAAAGAAAAAAGATCAAAAATTGTATAAAATTTGAAAAAAATGTATACAAAAATTTGAAAATCATATAAAAAAACAATAATAATTTATGATCTCATAAAAGTCAGTAGGATATTAATAAATGTTGTTGTTTAGTGGAAAACTTTACATTCCGTGCAAATGGAAAACTTTAATGGTTGAGAAATAAACGTGTAAAACGTGTTAATTAGTTAGTTAATTAATTAAGCAATTAATTAGTTATGTATAAAAAAATGTATACAAAATATGGAAACCCAGTCGGTTCGGAAACGTCGAAAAAGGTGGAAAATCTGCCAAAAAATCCCGCGAGCAAATTCCAATTTTTCCTCTTTATTTCTTACTTTCACTCTAATTTCGAAAAGAAAACCGTACCTGACTTTCTCCTAATTTACATATTTCCTTTCTCCAAAAATATTTCATTTTTTAAGCGTACTGCCTAAAAAAACGGAAACCTTTTGACTTGATGATGATGATAAAAATGGAGATGCTCATATTCAATCAAATCAATCAATCCTATAAAAATAATAATAATTAAAATAAATAAATAAATACCTGTAATTAATTAGTCGTAAAAAAAAGCTGCTCTCATTTTCTCTCTGTGATTAAATACTTACAAAAATCTCCACCCAGTCAAAAAATCAAAATTCTCAATAATTTTTCTTTTTCCTTTCCTTGCTTATCCTTTCTCCTTAACGAATACTGATAATATCACGAAATTATTAATGCCTTCCTGAAAGAACAACGGATTAATTTTAGGATTATGTAGCACTAAATATTTAGAAAGAAAAGCTATACTTTCTTCAGTATATGAGGGTAATTACTAATTGATTAATTAGTTAATTGACTAATTAACTGATTAATTAATTGACTAGTT